GTTTCTGTGGAAAGCCAGGACCCTCCTCCAGGTTGTTCGGTGGCACCGATAGGCCCCTGCACCCTGTCCAGAGCCATAAATGTGACCGGGCCCGAAAGCCTGGCACCTTCTCATCTCAAGCCACAGCTGGTTCAGAGATAGGCACGGGACAGAAGCTGCTGGCCCCAGGTCATCCCCAGGAGCTCCCTGGGAAGACTGGCTTTTTTTCCCACTGGGAAAGACAACTTGTGCGGTGTAGACAGGGAGCTGTGGCGTCTTCTGCCATCACTCAGGGACAGCCTGCCTGAGAGCAGAGCTGTCATGAAGGAGCACAGACAGACTCACAGATAGAAAGAGAGACCCCTGGATCCAGCCATGCCTGAAACCAGTAGGTGTCTCCCAGGACAATTTAGTCACATAAATCAACAAAGCTCCCTGTGCTCAAGCCAGTTTGGGCTGGTGTCGGCACTCAGAAGGCTTCTCAGCAACCAGGGGCCCACTGGGTCAACTGCAGGGCAGACAGAGGGATCGGACAAAAGGCAAGAGCGGAGAGCAGGAAATCTGCAGAGGTGGAAACCCAGTGCCAACTGCAACTGTAGGAAAGTCTACGCACACTTGGGGGATTGGGGGCTGGGACTGGGCTGATCAGGTCAGCCTCCTCCAGTCCTCAAGGGACAGGAAGGTCTCAACTGATTCTAGCCTGACCCGGGCTCTCTAAGGTCTGGCTCAGGGTCCGTGGTCTGGATATACCATATGGGCTTAACTTCCCCTTTTGATAAACACTTGGGCCGCTTCCAGTCCCACAGGGTCCTCAGTATCCTTCAGTGAATATCCTGAGACACGGCTTTGAGCTGGTCTAAAATGTCCAGGGAGAGGTCCACTGGTTCAGGCATGGCTGGATCCAGGCATGGCAGCTCCTGTACTGAAGGAACCATGCTAAACAGATGCATCTATCACTCCTGTGTCAGGGCGCATGAGTCTTTCCACACCCATCCATGCTGCCCAGGAGACAGGAAGTAGAAAACGTGATCCTATTTTTGTATAGGAGGAAACTGAGGCTGTGGGCAGGGTGGGAAGCTGCCTGAGGCCACTGCGGGGCGGGGGAGGGGGCATAGGTTCTTCCCCTGCCGGAGATACATTCCATGGGCCCAGGGCAGGGGTGGGGGGTTGTCCCAATCTGCCTGTGCCCAGTCCTGCACTGACTCCTTCAGCAATCCCTTTCCCATCCTGAGCTTCCATATTTCCACCTATAAAATACAGGGAATCCCAAAGCTTAGTGCTCTTCAGAAATGCCAGAGGCAGACCCTGTCCTGCTCCAGACTGTGCGTTAAAGACTACAATAAAATGAGTACTCACACTTTAAAGCTTTTCTGAAAAAACAGCTACAATTACTGAGCAATTACTATATGACAAGCACTTTTTTTTTTTTTTAATGCGGTATGCGGGCCTCTCACTGTTGTGGCCTCGATGCGCAGGCTCAGTGGCCATGGCTCACGGGCCCAGCCGCTCCGCGGCACGTGGGATCCTCCCGGACTGGGGCACGAACCCGCATCCCCTGCATCGGCAGGCGGACTCTCAACCACTGCGCCACCAGGGAAGCCCTGACAAGCACTTTTATACATGGATTGACTAACTTGGTCCACAAAATGTAGGTATTATTTTCTCTATTCTACAGATGGGGAAGCCAAGGCAGACAGAGGTTCAACAGCTTCCTGATAGGTGTCAGTATCAATGGTATGTTGGCCTCCCAAAATGAGATGGGAAATGTTCCCTCATTTTCTATTCTCTGTGCAGGTTTGTGTAAGGTCACTGATATTTCTTCAACTGTTTACAGGAATTCCTCAAGGAAAACATCTGAACCTAGAATTTTCTTTGTGGGAAGATTTTAAATTATGAATTAAATTTATTTAATTGTTATAGGACTATCCAGATTTTCTATTGCTTCTAGCGTCAGTTTGGGTAAATTGTTTCATTTAAATTTCAAATTACTGTCATAAAGTTGTTCATAATATACTCTTATTAGCTTTTTAATGTTTGTAGTATCTGTGGTGATGTCCTCTTTTTCATTCCTGACGTTGGAATTTGTGTTTTCTTTTTTTACCCATTATTTCCAGGGGATTATCCATTCTATTAATCTCTTTTGGCTTGGCTGAGTTTCCCTGATTTTTGCTTTGTTTCATTAATTTCTGCTTTTATTTTTATTTCCTCTCATCTTTAGATTTAATTTGTTGTTCTTTTTCTAGCTTCTTGAATTGGAGCTTAGAGCATTAATTTTAACCTTTCTTCTAAAGCTATACATTTTCCTTGACGCACCGCTTTACCTATATCCCACAGCATTTGATATGTCACGTTTTCACTGTAGTTCACTTCAAAATATTTTACGACATCCCTCGTGATTTACTATTTGACCCACTGATTATTTAGAAGTGTGATATTTAATTTCCAAGTACTTGGAGGCTTTCTGATAGTTTTCCTGTTTTTGAGTTTTAGTTTAATTCAGAGAGGACACACACTTGTATAATTTCAATCCTTTGAAATTTGTTGAGACTTCATGGCCCAGGATATGGTCTATTTTGTTTAACATCCTATATGCACATGGAAAGAACATGTATTCAACAGCTATTGGGTGAAGTGTTGTATATATGTGAATTAAGGCAAGTGGGTTCATCCTATTGTTTCAAGGATAGAGATGTTGATTCAAGGATAGTGAAATAGGGACTTCCCTAGCGGTCCAGTGGTTAAGACTCTGTGCCTCCTAGGCAGGGGCCGTGGGTTCGATCCCTTGTCATGGAACTAAGATCCCACATGCCAAAAAAAAAGGATAGAGAAATAGACCAGTGGGATAGAAAAGAGTCCAGAACAGATCCTCACATACACAGTCACTTGGTTTACAATGGGGGCTCTTCTCCAGTTCAGTGGGATGAGGGCCCTTTCAATAACTGATGATGGTCTACTGGACATCCATACGGAAGAAATGAGCTCTGACCCCTACCACAATATTCACAGGAATTAATTTGTGATCCATCATAGATCTAAATGTGAATGCTGCACTTTTATACATGGATTGACTAACTTGGTCCACAAAATGTAGGTATTATTTTCTCTATTCTACAGATGGGGAAGCCAAGGCAGACAGAGGTTCAACAGCTTCCTGATAGGTGTCAGTATCAATGGTATGTTGGCCTCCCAAAATGAGATGGGAAATGTTCCCTCATTTTCTATTCTCTGTGCAGGTTTGTGTAAGGTCACTGATATTTCTTCAACTGTTTACAGGAATTCCTCAAGGAAAACATCTGAACCTAGAATTTTCTTTGTGGGAAGATTTTAAATTATGAATTAAATTTATTTAATTGTTATAGGACTATCCAGATTTTCTATTGCTTCTAGCGTCAGTTTGGGTAAATTGTTTCATTTAAATTTCAAATTACTGTCATAAAGTTGTTCATAATATACTCTTATTAGCTTTTTAATGTTTGTAGTATCTGTGGTGATGTCCTCTTTTTCATTCCTGACGTTGGAATTTGTGTTTTCTTTTTTTACCCATTATTTCCAGGGGATTATCCATTCTATTAATCTCTTTTGGCTTGGCTGAGTTTCCCTGATTTTTGCTTTGTTTCATTAATTTCTGCTTTTATTTTTATTTCCTCTCATCTTTAGATTTAATTTGTTGTTCTTTTTCTAGCTTCTTGAATTGGAGCTTAGAGCATTAATTTTAACCTTTCTTCTAAAGCTATACATTTTCCTTGACGCACCGCTTTACCTATATCCCACAGCATTTGATATGTCACGTTTTCACTGTAGTTCACTTCAAAATATTTTACGACATCCCTCGTGATTTACTATTTGACCCACTGATTATTTAGAAGTGTGATATTTAATTTCCAAGTACTTGGAGGCTTTCTGATAGTTTTCCTGTTTTTGAGTTTTAGTTTAATTCAGAGAGGACACACACTTGTATAATTTCAATCCTTTGAAATTTGTTGAGACTTCATGGCCCAGGATATGGTCTATTTTGTTTAACATCCTATATGCACATGGAAAGAACATGTATTCAACAGCTATTGGGTGAAGTGTTGTATATATGTGAATTAAGGCAAGTGGGTTCATCCTATTGTTTCAAGGATAGAGATGTTGATTCAAGGATAGTGAAATAGGGACTTCCCTAGCGGTCCAGTGGTTAAGACTCTGTGCCTCCTAGGCAGGGGCCGTGGGTTCGATCCCTTGTCATGGAACTAAGATCCCACATGCCAAAAAAAAAGGATAGAGAAATAGACCAGTGGGATAGAAAAGAGTCCAGAACAGATCCTCACATACACAGTCACTTGGTTTACAATGGGGGCTCTTCTCCAGTTCAGTGGGATGAGGGCCCTTTCAATAACTGATGATGGTCTACTGGACATCCATACGGAAGAAATGAGCTCTGACCCCTACCACAATATTCACAGGAATTAATTTGTGATCCATCATAGATCTAAATGTGAATGCTAAAACAATTAAGCTTCTAAAAGAAAACACGGGAGAATATCCTAATAAAAAACACTAAACATGAGGAGAGACTGATAAATTGGACGCATCACTGAGAAAATTCCTGTTAATATAAGCAACCGCAAACCACAGAACGGCATAAGGTATTTGCAACACCTTCCATACAACGCAAATCCAAGTACCCATCTACATACCAAGCCATGTGTGAGACCAGGGACACAGCATCCAGAATATATAAAGAACCTCTAGGAATCAACACGATAATGAAGCCAGGCGTGAATCCAGGCGGCTGGTGCCAGAGCTAGGTCCTAATCACTGGGACAGTGGGGGACACCTCCTGCCCCGTGGCCCTCCTTGAGCGCATACCGGGAACTCGCTCGGTCCTCCTTAAGCGGGGAGGCGGCGGGGAAGCTCCGGCCGTGGCTCCGCCCCGGGGTTGCCTTTCCCTTAGAAGGCAAAGCCCCAAGCCTCGCCTATCGCCCGGCGGAAAGTTGCGCTGTGCTGCCCGCACTCCCCTCGCCCCCGACGACGCCGCCGGAGCCCCCGAGACCCCGCGCCCTCAGCGCTCCAGTCCGGCTCAGGCGTGGACAGGGCGGGCGCCGGGGCGGGGCGCGCGTCCTCGCCAGTTTGAATGGAAGGATCCAGATCTGCGGAGACGGCGGCCAGCAGATACTGAGGCCAGCACTCCTCCCCAGCCCCCGCGCCCGAGACATGCGGCGGGAGAGGTGAGCAGGGCGGGCCGCGCCATGGGAACGGCGAGGCCGGGGACAAACACCGAGGACGGCGAGGCGCGGAGGTGGGTGGTGGCCCCGGACGCTGGGCCGGGCCGGGGTCCCGGCTGCAGCCGGTTGGGAGCAGGTCGGGCCATGCCCCCCGCCCACGCCTCCGCCGCCTGCGCACTCGTCTTCGAGCGCGGGCACGGCGGCCCCAGCGGCCCCAGAGCCAATCGCCATTTCCGCGGGGTCCTTCCCATCCCCGGCACCCGTGGGGATCTTTGTGATTGAGTTCGGCATCTAAAAGAAGGTGACACCGCGCTTTTAAAGATTTGGGGCACAAACAGGAACGCTTACCCGCAGCTGGCCGAAGCCCTTCCCCAGAGCCGCGCCGGCCCGGCCTCCCTGTGCGCTCCGGCCCGGCGCACGCACGCGATCTAGGCGCACGCCGCGCCCCTTCCACGCTCCCCGCTGCCCGCCGTTCTCGCGCGGCCGACGTTCCCCTCCGCCAGCGAGGCCGGGGCGGCGGGGCGGGCCCGTCTAAGCACCCTCTGCCCGCAGGTGCGGCGCCCCCCGCCCGCGTCCCCGCCATGGAGGTGCTGCGGCGCTCCTCGGTCTTCGCCGCCGAGATCATGGACGCCTTTGACCGCTCGCCCACCGACAAGGAGCTGGTGGCCCAGGCCAAGGCGCTCGGCCGGGAGTTCGTGCACGCGCGGCTGCTGCGCGCCGGCCTCGCCTGGAGCGCGCCGGAGCGCGCCGCGCCCGCCCCCGGCGGCCGCCTGGCCGAAGTGTGCACGGTGCTGCTGCGCCTGGGTGAGTGCGGGCCTCGGCGGGCGGGATCCCAGGCTTACCCTACAAAGCCGGCCGGCGGGGCGGCCCCTCTGCGCCTCGGGGTACAGCTGTCCCTGCACTGGCCCGCCCTCCGGTGACCGCGCCGGCACCCGCCCCTGCTGGGCCTCGGTCTCCCCTCTGAGGCAGAGAGGGGGCTGGTCCGGAGTGCCCTGAGTAACCCGGCGCACAAGGCGGGCGCACCCAGACCGATGATCCCTCCAGCACTCCACTCTTCCAGTCCTCCCTCAGGCTCGCCTGTGCACCCGCCAAAGACCTCCCCGCATTTGCCTGCTCAGCCCGGATTTCAGACACTCTGGCAATAAAGGATAGACAGCTCCGGGAAGAATGATGTTTTGGTGGCTAAACTTCCAGAGTGACCCTTGTACTCAGCTGGGCACAAAAATCCTTTGTCGGACCACGTGTCCTGCTGTTTGGTTTGGAAAATAGGTCCTTGCAGGCTCAGATCCTGCCATGGGTTGCTCTTTTCTCCTGATTTGGAGGCCTCTTAGGGCTCCCGGCAAAATTTAGTGCCCCAGGAGAGCTGAGCCACCGTGAGGCTAGGTAGCCCAAGATCTCACCTGGACGGCTAGTTGAGTGGACATCTGGAGGTACTTGACTGTGGGGTCACACACAGCCCGGTAACTGTCTCCACCTTCTCCAAGGACCCCAGAGAGGGCGGGACCGGCCCAGCTGACTCAGTCCACCTCTCCACGGGGACTGAGGTTGCCCAGCCCTGCCCCATCCAGTGTGACAGTTCCACCCCAAGCATGTGCACACGGGGAGGTGTGGCAGCACAGATGGAGCCCTGACCAGGTGGCTCTCCAGGCAGAGTGGGGAGAGACTGGCCCAGGAGCCCTGACTGGAGGGAACACCCTGTGAAAGGGGATGCCCTCCCCTTCTCAGGCTGGCTCGCGTGTCTGCTTGCCCCTGTTTTGTGTGGACCTTGGGAGCAGGGTTGTGTAGACCTGGCCTGCACAGGAGTGTTGGGGTCCGGGGGAGACACACAGATGCTGAGGGGCCATTGCAGAGGGCTGCCAGGGGGGCGGTGTCCTGCCTGGGTCTCAGGGGAGGGGAGCAAGTGGGGTTTGGGGGATGAGCCAGAGGCCCAGAGTGCCTGGACTCCCCTGAGGTCAGCGCCCAAGCCACTTCTTCCAGTTGGGCTGTGGGGACAACACTGGGGGAGCACTCCAGAGGGTCCTGGTGAATATGGTGTCTTGACCTCCCAAGAGCCCCTGGAGTGGCCAGGAGGAGGTTCTGCCTCTGCCCTGCCTGCCCCCAGCTCCATCTCCTTGCCTGCGAGCAGCGGCTCGGGGCTGCCTCTACCTTGGGCCCGGGGTCCCCACTGTTTGAACTTTCTGAAAAGCCCTGCTTTGGGCTCTGTTAATCAGACCGGGCCCGTATCTGTCCCTTCAACACTGTGACCTCAGACCTGGAGAGCCTGGGATGCTTCCGGCCAGGGCTGGAGGAGCAGAGTCCGGCCAAGTGCCCCGCGCTGGCCCTCTCAGGGGCCAGGCCTCCAGGCCCTCCTCCAGCATCCGGCCTCACCACGGCCAGTCCCTGGGGTTCAGTTCCTGCGAGATAGCTAAGGGGACCCTGGAGGAAGATGGCTTGAACCCCCAAAGCATCCGCCCTTGCAGCTGCTCAGCGTGATCGCCCCTTCCCCACCCATCATGGCCTGGAGCTGTCTCCCTGTCCCCAGCGTACCCCCAGTTCCTCCCCAGCACAGACGCCCCGCTCCTGGAGCAGCAGCAAACAGGAAGAGGCCCGGGTTGAGTTGGGGTCAGTCCCCGGTAGACCCCGGGGTCTGTATGTGGGAACAGCCAGGCCAGCCCTGGGAGTTTCCATGCTCCCTCCCGCATCGTTCTGCCAGCCTCCCCGCAGTCCTGCTCTGGTTCCAGATCTTAATTAATTAGATGGAGTGCATCTGGCCCCATGGGTGACTCGGAGCCCTTATCGCCTGGACTTCCAGTCAGAAGCATTTTCCTGTTTGCTTTGGCGGAGAGGCGGCTGGGTTGGGGGACGCCCAGTCCAAGGGGTGTGTGGGATTCCGGGCACATGACTGCCAGGGGCGCTGCAGCGGGCACACGTGCAGACAGTGCCCTTGAGAGGGCCTCCCGCTGCCACGTGCGGCCACCCCATCCAGATACCCGTGCTTGGCCCCAGGAGCCCAGGTCTGACCCTGTGTGGTGCTGGTGGCCCCGGGTAGTGGCTCCTTTTCTTGGTTCACTGAATGGTGCTGGGGCCTGAGCAAGGACACCCCTCTGAGGCAGCAGACGGGCTCCCCACCTGTGTGGGGTCGCTGGCACAGTCCACGCCCATGTTGGGCTCTGGCTGCTTGCCTGTCAGACTACCGCCCGCCCATGCAGCTCGCTGTGGGCTGTGAGTCACTGATCAGGCACTGCTGAGATGCCCGCCCCACTGGCCCAGCCGGCTCTGCCCTGGGGGGAGGGTGGGTGTGGCTGGCTCGGCAGAGGGGACAGGCCCCAGAGGCAGGTCTGGGGGTGCCCACTGCACCTCCCTGGAATTGTCCCCGAGGGCTCTGGGGGTGGTGTCTCGTGGGTGGGAATGTGACAGGTGGGGGGGTCAGGAATAGGGCTGGGATCAGGGTCCCCAGCTGTGGCCAAGGCTGAGGAGTGGGCTGGCCCCAGGCCCGCGTGGGCCCCACACCCCGTGGGTGTGACCACCTCTGACCCGCCTGTGTGACCGCAGCGGACGAGCTGGAGCTGATCCGGCCCAGTGTCTACCGTAACGTGGCCCGCCAGCTGAACATCCCCCTGCAGTCCGAGACCGTGGTGACCGACGCCTTCCTGGCTGTGGCAGCCCAGATCTTTTCTGCAGGTAGGCCTGTGTGTCCAGGGGGCCCACACTGCTGGCATGGCCCAGGGTCTGTGGGTCAGGGCCGGGGCTGCAGCGCTGGGTGGGCTCTCAGGGGAGCCTCCCTGGGTCCAAGGACAGTGGGCCTCTTGTGCGGTCCTGGGGCTGCAGTGACCGGAAGCCCTGGCTGGGCTGCATGTCCCAGGCTGCCAGTTGGTGCTGACTGTTGGCTGGAGTGGGGTGGGGCTGTTCTGCGTGTGGCCTGTACGTGTCCTGTGGGGCTTGGGCTTCTCACGGCCTGGCCGCAGGTCTCAAGCAGCCCAAGTGGGCGCCGCCAGGCTCTTTTGATGTAAGAAGTCACCGTGTCACTGAGCCTGAGTCTGTTGCTCAGAGGCAAGTCGCAGAACAGCCCCCATAGTGGGAGGGGTGCACTAGGGTGGGAGTCCCTGGTGGAGCGGCTCACCGGGACACGTTTGGAGAATGTTGACGCACCTGTCTCACCTGGCTGGCCCACAGTCACCTGTGAATCTCCCGGAGCCTCTACTTGGGCCCTAGGAGCAGGTGACATCTGCCCCTCCTCCTTGTGCCCTTGCCCTGAGTTCAGCTCGTGCTGCTTCTGGTCTGCACACCTGCCTCCAGGCTCCCAGGAAACTCTAGGACTCATCCCCCAAAACCCCCTCTCGTTCCCACGCCGCCTCCTGGGAACCCTGCTGGGCTCCCTGAGGTCCACATAGCTTGTCTCCCCACCCGTGACCTCGTGCCCTGTTCTGGTGCCCCTGCCCTGCATGTCCACCTCGGTCCTGTGTCCTGGTACGTAGCAGGTGCCAGGCACTGCTGGCCATCCAGGTGACCAAAGCCCCCACCCCAGTGCAGCACCTGCCCCATCAGCCGATCCCACCAAGGTTTCCCCAGCACTGTCTGGCGCTACCCTGGGCCTGGGGACCCTGTGATGGACGGGATGGCCAGTCCCAGCCCTCAAGGAGTGGGGGCTTGGGGGCCCCAGAGCCAGAGTGTTCCCGGGGCGCATCCTGGTGGAGTGGGGGTGTGAGTGGCCACGTGGCATCGAGGGTGGGAAGGGCTTTGGGGAGGACGGGCCCCTTCTGCGAGGTGGCTTTGGGTCTGTCGTCGACCAGCGGCGTGACCTCGCAACACCCCTTGCCTTTCCTTAGCTGTCGGGTGTTTGGGACAGCAGCAGGGCTTTGGGGCAGAGGGCGCCGGGAGCCACAGTCCCACCCCATGGGGGACCTCCACCCACCGGCAGAAGAAAGGAGGCCAGTGGAGGGGCTGGGGCTGCCGCATCCCATCAGAGGGCCCCCAGCCCGCTGACCGCACCCTCTGGGTATTGCCCTGCACTGTCCCCTCTTGAGGAGGCTCCTCCGACCTCTGGTGGGCAGACCGGCGTGGCAGGGACACGGGACCACCGGCTGCAGGACCCAGCCTCCAGGGCGGCACTGGGTGGCCAGGACTTCACAGGGGAGTGCCTGGGAGGGAGGGGGCTGGTGAGAGGCGTGGGATGCCCATGAGGTCTGGCAGTCCTGACCTGGGTGCCCTCGCGGTGACCTGGGCAGGCCGGGGAAGGGAGCTGACAGCCGCCCTGGGCCCTCCCTGGGCTCCCTGTCAGGCCTGACGCTGGCGCGTGGGTGGCCGCCGGTGTCTGTCTCCGCTGTTGGGTGGGCGGGCGGCTGGCTTAGAGCGAGGGCTGGCTTTAAAAGGAGGGGTCATCTCTGAGAATGCGGCTGCGGCAGCTGGTGTTTGGGACTGAGGGGGCGGGGGACGGCTGGGCCCCAGGGAGGGTGGCTGGTGTGTGGGCAGGGACAGAGGGCAGGCAGCCGGGATGAATCACCCACCCCTGCCTGCCCTGCTTGCTCAGTGCGGGATGGGCGGAGACGTGCCCAGAAGGGCTCTGGGTTCTGGAAGGACGAGGCGGGGGCTGGGGCAGGGCAGGGAGAGGGAGGGGCGGGGAGGAAGGTGTGGCCGTGATGAACGGGCACAGGGCACCAGCGGCTTCTTTCACTTGGGGAGTTCAGTTTAAAGCCCGTGATTTTTCGCTTGAAACCGGAGCAGGATGTGCTTCTCTACGATCAAGCATCCCCGCCCCACCCAGCTGGCCCTACTCTTTTCTCGTGGCAGCCTCCACACCACCACCTGTCCCTCTGGTGCTTTGGGGCGCCCAGCCCCTCATGGGCTCTGTGACCTGCAAGTGGTTCTTAACCTCTGTGGACCTCAGAGCCACCTGAAAGGGGAGCAGGGACAGGCTCCGTGGAGCACAGGGCTGCGGGTCGCCCCTTCTGCTGCCGACGGGCTCTCAGCCCAGCCCCCTGACCAGCCCGTGGCTGCCCCACGCACCCTCCCGCTTCCCGCCCACCCAAGGTCTCCCTTCACCCCTTGTTCATCCCAGCCTTCCCGGTCCTCAGGCCCTCTTGCCACCAGGCAAGCTCCAGTCATCAGATGCTTGCCGGCCCTGCCCATCTCTGCCCGCAGCCTCTCCCAAGCAGCTCGGTCTTGCATGCGCTGACCCCCCAGGCTGGATATTTCTCCCCCTCGTCGTCCCGGCCGGCCCCTCACCTGCTCTGGCTGTGGCCGGTGACGTGGACGGCTCGAGGACTGCAGGGCAGGGTTCCAGGTGGCCTCCCCACGTGGCTGAGCCCCCACGAAGGCAGAGGCAGGGGACGCTGTTCCAGGCTGCGTCTTGGCTGCAGACGCTTCTTGGTTCCCTTCAGTGGAAAAACTGAAAGTTGGCAAGTGTTTTCATTTTTTTCTTCTCATTACAAGAGCAAAATATTTCACCACGGAAAAATCAGAAAATACATGAGATAAAGAACTCTCAGAAATCAGTGCTAATAAGACCACCTCACTTTAAAAAGAGCAAAGGGTCTGAATGGATGTCTCTTCAAGGAAGATGTATGAACAGCCAGTCCGTGCATGAGAAGTTGCTCAGTATCATCAGTCACCAGGGAAACACACATCAAACCACAACAAGATGCCGCCTCGCGCCCACTGGGGCACTCAGGGCAGAACTTCTGAGAGCCCAGCACGGGTGAGGCTGGGAAGAGTCAGGGCGTGAAGCGGTCCGGCAGCTTCTCCAATGGTAACTCTGACGGGGTCACCCCCTGACCCGGCAGTTCCGCTCCTCGGTTTTGACCCCTGAGAAAGGAAGCCACATGTCCACACAAGGGCTTGCACACGAGTGTTCAGAGCCGCGTATCCCCACAGCCAGAGGGGGCCAGCAGCCCATGTGTTCGTTTCCTGATGGGTGGTCCATCCACTCAATGGAACATTATTCGGCCGTAAAAAGGAATGAGGTGCCCACACCAGGACAGCATGGAGGAACCTTGAAAACATTTTGCTCAGTGAACGGAGTCAGACACAAAGTGGGACATACTGTGTGACTGCATTCACGTGAAATGTCCAGAACAGGTAATCCATAGAGACAAAGTAGATTAGAGGTTACCAGGGCTGGGGTGACAGGGGCATGATGCTCCTGGGGACAGTGATTTGGAGTGAAAATGTCTGGAATTCGATAGTGGTGATGGTTGTACAACATCGTCAATATGCTAAAAACACTGGATCTCACACTTTAAAAGGATGAATTTACGCTAGTGAGATCATAATTCCGTAGAAAAGAACACAAAGACCTCAAAGAAAATAGGACATACCTGAGCCCCAACTCCCAGAGACCACCCTGCCGGCACCTTCCAGACCAGGGCTTTCCTCTCCAGGTAAAACGTGGCCATCACGTGGAGCTCACCTCTCCACACAGCACCGCAGAACGCGTGTTCCACTCTCTTGATCCCCGCCCTGTCCCCTGGTGGTGGTGGTGGGTACCTGCAGGATGCCAAGCCTGGAGGTGCCAAGGGCACAGCTGTGAGCAGCACAGAGCCCGCCAGGGCTGGCACCCACGAGCAGCTGGTCAATGGGGAGCGTGGTGTGACGGCAGCGTCACCAGGACCTGATGCCATCACGGTCTGCGTGGCCCTTAGAGGGAGGACCTTGGGCAGAGCCCTGGGGGTGAGGGAGCCCTGCAGGCAGCGGTGAGGCTGGGATAGCGCACATGAGGCCAGGTCGCAGGACAAGGGGGCCTCAGAGGGGCCAGCAGCCAGCTCAGGTGGGACTTCAGACTTGGACTTACTTTGAAGGAGATGGGAAGGGACAGTAACAGGAGGGTTTGGGGAGTGGCCTGGCCTGATTTACGGGGTTTTAAAATTTTCGTTGAGGTGAAATTCATATGACGTACAATTAACCATTTTATTTATTTATTATTTATTGGCTACACCACGCGGCATGTGGGATCTTAGTTCCCCGACCAAGGATTGAACCCATTCCCCCTGCAGTGGAAGCACAGAGTCCTAACCACTAGACTGCCAGGGAAGCCCCAGTTAACCATTGTAAAGTGTATGATTCAGTGGCGTTGAATGCATCCACAATATCGTGCAACCACCACCTCTCCAAGTTCTTTGTCAGTGGGAAGAACACCCATTCGCATTAAGCTGTCACTGCCTGGCTCCCTCCTGTAGCCCCCAGTGACCACTGGTCTGCTTTCTGTCTCCATGGATCTGACAGTCCTGCACATTTCATAGGAATGGACTCATACGATACGTGTGGCCTTTCAAGTCTGCTTCGTTCACTGAGCACGATGTTTTCAAGGTTCATCAGTGCCTCCTTCCACTTTGAGGCCAAATATCATCCCGTGTGTGGCTGGACCACACTGCTTTTCCATTCACTGCTTATCTATGTTTTGTCATTTCCACCTTTTGGCCACTGTGAACAGGGATTCATTCGCACTGACTTGTGCTCTTATAACAGACTGTCCCAGCTGTGGTGTGAACATGGGTTGAGGGGCCATGCTTCCTCCCTGCCTGTGCCGCTTCCTTAGGACTGAGGTGGGGCACCCGTGTTTGTGTCCTTTCACAGGTGGTGCTGGGTGCCCTCCAGCTGTCTTTCTCATCACAGTTACCAGGCTGCAGAGTTACATGGATCCTCACATTGCCACTTGGAATTTTTAGTCTGATAGACTATAATTTGCATCTCGTTTTAATTAACACTTCTTTGTTTATCAGTGAGGGTGAGCATTTTTCATATGTCTAGTGTACTGTTAATACTTTTTCTTTTGTGAATCAGCTGTTTGTATTCTGTATTCGTATTTCTTTTGAAAGGTTTCTCTCTTTTTCTCGTTGATTTATAAAATCTCTTTCTATATTAAGGAACCTTATACAACGGGCAAGCACTGTTCCCCAGATTGTCATTCGTCTGTCTTTCCTCCCAGGTGGGCTCCATCTCAGTTCTGCCCCCCGGTAGCTTGGTGGTCTGGGCAAGGCCATTCCTCCCAGGGCCTCAGCTTCTTTACATGGAGGACATCCTCTGTCCTCGCAGGGCTGTGCTGGGGGCAGGCGCAGATGGAAGCTGCTTCCTGTTTATCACATCCAGTGCCGAGTCACTGAGCCCCCTTGACCTGCTCAGCCTCCTCTTTGCCTTCCTGCTCCATCACCTCCTCCGGCAGATACTGGACTATGCAGGGTCATCGCCAGGCCCTGGCCCAGGTGTGCAGGTGCAAGGTGTGCAGGTGTGTAACGCAGGCTCGAGACATCCCCGCCTGAGAACGACATGTGACAGTGGCAGGACTGACCTGCAGCAGACGGTGGCTGGGACTTGCACAGCAGCCAGCTGACCGAGCTCCCCATCTGGTGGGAGCTGTGGGTTGAGGCTGCCCCGGGTGGTGACCCCAGTCACCAGCGGAATGGCAAGGGGTGTGGCTCAGAAAGGCTCAGCCCCCTCACGTGACCCTGTGGGCTGGCCTTGAGCTGGGTCTTGGTGGCCTTTGGTGACCAGCACCCATCTCCCTCCCTGCAGGAATCACCTGGGGCAAGGTTGTGTCCCTGTACTCAGTGGCTGCGGGGCTGGCCGTGGATTGCGTGCGACAGGCCCAGCCTGCCCTGGTCCACGCCCTCGTTGACTGCCTCGGGGAGTTCGTGCGCAAGACCCTGGCGACCTGGCTGCGGAGACGCGGTGGATGGGTGAGGGAATATGGCGGTGCCAGGAAGGGGGCGGTTGTTGAACGCCTGAGTGCCGGCAGTGGCAGGGGTGATCAGGGCTGGAGGAGGGGCGAGGCCGGGGCTGCCCAGCCCAGGACAGCTCCTGCAGCCCAGCTCCAGTGCGGGCCCTCTGGGTCTGACCACCCCCGACTCCAGAGCTAAAACCCGCCGCCCGCCCCCAGGGATGGTGTCATAGTCTCCATGTCCCCGATCTCCTGGCCAGGCCTCAGGGACTGTGGGGCAGCCCCACCCGTAGGAGAGCTGTTTTCTCTTCTGTGAAATGGATGGTGGGCGAAGGTCTGCAAAGTACACTGGCTGAGGGGATGGAGCTCAGCCCTCCGCTGGGATTGGAGCCACGAGGGGGCGGTGAGGGGCCACTGGGGCTGTGGTCTCATCTGAAGGCGGCACTGGGCGGGGAGGGTGTCACCTCCTGGATGAGTCACGTGGCTGCAGGCCTCCCGCTGTCCCATCCTGCCGTCCTGTCCTGGAGCCCGGCTGAGGCTGGGCACCAGGGCAGCCAGGACGCTGATTGACACCACGGCCAAAGGTCAAGCTGTAGGGATAGTATTTCATTTCTTAGCAGGACTAGAAAGAAATAAGGAAGTAAGGAGTGGCCATTCACTGGGCTCTGGAAAGCTCAGTTCCTGCTCCTGTTCTAAGGGATTTGTCCTTCCCTGGCACCCCAGGCTCCACGGCATCTGCGGAAGGACACTGGGATGTCAGCAGGTGGCCGAGCTGGTAGCTGATCCCATGGCTGGGGGCCCAGCAGGCTCCCCTCCCTCCCCTCTCACGGTCTGAATCCAGCTGTTGGGTCAGGTCCCATGCTGGAGCCTTCCATCCAGCTGGACCACAAGCCTTCCCAAACGGCCTCGAGCATTCCCTCAGGCGACCTGGCTGACACCGGGCGGTTGGGTCACCGGCCGCACCCTCTCTAACTGCCCCCTCTTCCCTCCCAGACGGATGTGCTCAAGTGCGTGGTCAGCACTGACGCTGGCCTCCGCTCCCACTGGCTCGTGGCCGCGCTCTGCAGCTTTGGCCGCTTCCTGAAGGCTGCGTTCTTCATGCTGCTGCCAGAGAGATGAGCTGCTGGCTTGGGCAGGGGCCGCAGCCCGGCCCCCTTACACGGGAGGCCCTCAGCCGCCGAAAGCATCACCCTCCGCCCCACCCAAGCCGGGAAGACCCTCGGAGCCCCGCGTCGAAGCTGGAAGCCCTGCCCTGAGCCCCTCCTCCACAGACCCAGGCCCTCCGGACAGGGAAGTGGGGGGCTTCCTGGCCCTGGAGCTGGGTTTCAGGGCCGACAGGGGGCCCTTCCCCATCGCTCCCCCTCCCCCGGAACCCCTGCTGGTCCCCTTCTTTCTAGAGTCATAAAGTCAGGGTCACGTCCCAGGCCCTGAAGGAAGGGAGCCAGGAACACCAAGCTCTCACTCGACGCCGGGCCCCATCTGTGTGCAGTTCCCACGTCAGGACATGAGCTGGCTTCGGTCCTCCTGGGCAGGGGGCCTGGACTTTGGGCCTGAAGGTGACTCCCGAGGCTGGAGGAGCTGTGGAGTGTTACTGACTCCGCACGTGGGGCCTAAGGCTTGTGTGGTGGTTGCTGAACCTGTTTCTAGAGGGAGGGCGTGTCCCCCGTGCACCGGGGTGGGTCTCTGTGTGGCAGGGTCCTGTGGACGCGGGAGCCCACGACCGAGAAGAATGGTGTGTTTGTCCGATCCCAATAAAGTTCCGCAGCCGTGGAGGGTGACCCCGTCTCCTCCTGGTACCTGTCCTGCGTTTGCCAGGGACCCGACAGATGGCAGGCCGGCCTGACGGGATGGAGCACAGGCACACGTGTTCCCTCACCAAGGCCAGCTTGTGCTGCCCTGTGCCACACTGGGCCCGCGCACATACACACCTGCACGTGCTGCCACCGTGCGTGCACCAGCAGCTGCACCCCACGTTCCTCAATCCCCCTCCCCCCCCCCCCCCCCGCCTCTGGCCTGGCAGCACACACCTGCACGTGCTGCCACCGTGCGTGCACCAGCAGCTGCCCCCCACGTTCCTCAATCCCCCCCCCCCCCCCCCCCCCCGCCTCTGGCCTGGCAGCAGGCACACGGTGCTGGACGCGGCCTCTCTCAGCCCTGGTTCCCTTTCTGTACGACTCAGGGTGGACCAGACGGCCGCTAGGGTCTTCCTTTCCCCATCCACCCTCCTGGGGAAGAGCCTGAAGGCGAGGTTGCCGTGCACAAGGGGGGCTGCCCCCCTTCCCCCATCGCCCACCTCCTGGCCCCAGGGCCCCCCACAGGACCCCTCTCCTCAGCTTCCTCCCAGGGGGCGGCTGCCCCTGCAAGCCCATCACCTCTCCAAGCTCTGCCTGCTCTGTCTGCATGGGACCCAGGGGCGCTCACAGTGGGAAGTCTGGCAGATGACGAGAGGGAAGGAAGGGGGCGGGAGGAAAGGAAGGTCCCTTTGCCACCCTGCTTCCGTCACTAGGATCGATCCCTTGGTACGTTTCCAGCCTGGGAAAGTGCTGTTACAGACGCTGAGTCAGGGAAGCAGCAGATTTAAGGTCACTCAGAGAGACCAGGCATCTGCGTGGACATTGGGTTAGAGGCTGCAGCAGAGGAGACGCCCCATTTCCAACAACAGAAGATGCCATTTCGGGGTATAAACGGAGTGAGAAATGCGAAACTCTATGTGAGGCAAACTCTGAAGGTACCTGAGACACCCTGGACTTGGAAGGACAGAAGAAATCCCATGTTCCAGAGGAAAACGACCTCATAAAGAAGACAGTTCTCTATTAAGTAGCTTTGTAAATTTAACGTAATCCTTATGAAAGTATCAGAATGTTTTTCCCCCTCTGGATCTAAACAAGCTAATTATAAAGTTCATATGGGGCTTCCCTGGTGGCCCAGTGGTTGAGAGTCCACCTGCCGATGCAGGGGACGCGGGTTCGTGCCCCGGTCCGGGAAGATCCCACATGCCACAGAGCGGCTGGGCCCGTGAGCCATGGCTGCTGAGCCTGTGCGTCCAGAGCCTGTGCTCCGCAACGGGAGAGGCCACAACAGAGGCCCGTGTATCGCAAAAAAAAAAAAAAAAAAAAGTTCCTAGGAGGTGGGGTGGGGGGGGGGGGGAAGGGCAAAAACAGCCGGGAAAACCCTTCAAAAAAGAGAAAAGAGGAGGGTCTAGGCCTCTGCCTCTGAGTCTGTTGTTGGACCACCAGGCCCCAGGTCAAATGCATGTAGACAGGCAGGCGCAGGGTCACGGGACCCCCAGAGACAGACCCCTGTGCCTGGAGAACCAAGTCCATGATGAGGTGGGAAGAGCCGGGCTTGTGAGCAAATGTGACAAACCAGTTAACACTCAGAGACCAAATCGAATGCGTATGTCACACTAGACACAAAACAAATTCCAAACGGATCCAACAGCCAAGCATGAAAAATGAAACAAGTTCTAGAAACAATGGGTGAATTTCTTCCTAACTGGGGAGTGAGCAGAATCTTCCTCAACATGATTTAAAATCCAGGAGCAAGAAAAGACAAAATACTTTCTGGGAAAAAAACAATAACATTTAACATTTTCAAAAGTATCTGCAACTTAAGACAGGAAGCAAGGCGGGGGGCGGGGGTAGAGAGTGGGAGTGGCTTAACGGGTATGGGGTTTCTCCTCGGGGTGACAGAAGTGTCCTGGAAGTAGACAGGGTTGATGGTTGCATGACACTGAGAATGTACTAAATACCACTCAACTGTACACCTGTGGACACTGGAATAGTGAAGTTCATGCTGTAACCGTGCATTTCACTTCCATGAAAGGTGGTCGTTGAAAATCAGGAATACTAGGATTAATGTTTATAATTTAAAAGAACTCAAAAGCTTCGAAAGTCGAGAAGAAAAAGACAAAAAAAGAGAAATGCAGGGACTTCCCTGGTGGCCCCGGTGCTTAACACTCCACGCTCCTTCCACTGCAGGGGGTGTGGGTTCAATCCCTGGTTGGGGAACTAAGATCCCGCATGCGGTGTGGCGCAACCAAAAAAAAGAAATGCGTGCAGGATCTCATTTCTCACCGATCAGGTTGGCCCAGATCCAAATCTGACAACAGACTCTTGTAGGTGGAGGCAAGTCCCCTCACACAACACTGCTGGGAAGTAAAATGGCACAGTCCCTTGGGGGAGGGGCAACACTTGGACAAGTCATAGATGCATTTACCCTCGAACTGGCTACCTCTAGAAATCTATCCCAGAGCTACGCTGGCCAAAGTCCAAAATGCCATGTACATAAAGTTATTCATTGTGACATTATCTGATCAGCAAAAGACTGGAAACAACCCAGATGCCCAGCATCAGGGTGTCTGCTGGATAAACCATGGCAGGGCTGCCTGGTGGGGCACTCAGCAGCTGGGCTATACACCCACATGGAGCAAAATTTATCTTGTTTTACACTTTCAAAAAATAAATAAATTTATTTATTTATGTTTAGTCATTTACTTTTGGCTGCGTTGGGTCTTCGTTGCTGCGTGCGGGCTTTCTCTAGTTGCGGCGAGCGGGGACTACTCTTCGTTGCGGTGCGCGGGCTTCTCACTGTGGTGGCTTCTCTTGTTGCAGAGCACGGGCTCTAGGCGCACGGGCTTCAGTAGTTGTGGCTCGCGGGCTCTAGAGCGCAGGCTCAGTAGTTGTGGCACACGGGCTTAGTTGCTCAGCGGCATGTGGGATCTTCCCAGACCAGGGCTCGAACCTGTGTCCCCTGCACTGGCAGGCAGATTCTTAACCACTGCGCCACCAGGGAAGTCCCTTGTTTTACACTTTTGACAATAGGCTCACGCAGGATGCTCTGCATAAGCAAAGCTAACTTAAGAAACAGTCAATTTAAAAAAATTAAATGAGTTTCTCTATCAAGTTGGTGACATAAGCACCCAGAGGAATCAATTATTCCAACTATATTTTAACTTTACATCTTCAATGAGAAAGCTGTAAAAACAACAGCAAAAAAGGAAACTTCAGTCAGTAGTCTTATTAATAATAATGTTATTATTCTCAAATAATCATACGTATCCTGTAGGAGAAAGCAAATAATGATAAACAGGATTTTCATCTTAAAAGAGGTAAAATCAAAGAATTTAAGTAAAAAATTTTATCATCTTAAAATTTGAATTGTAAACCTAAGTGTGGATGCACAATTTTTTTTCTTTCTTAAAAAATGCACGTATCCCATGCTAAAGTAGTTGAAAGTGAAGGGTTGTGATCTCTGCAATGAGATCTCAAATAGTAAAGTGGAAATAAGTGAGAAAATAATTTATAAAGGGATTTTCCATTTCTGCCCAGGGCCTCTCAGTCCCACCCCCACTGGAGAGAAGTTCTGAGGCAGGAAGTGGGAACAGAGGCCATCAGGGGCTTGAGGGGCTCCATCCAGCCAACTATCACATCATGAGGGCCCCTCCCGTCTGTCAAAGAAAAAGACTGGACTTGCCTAGCTCACATCGAACATACAAAAAGTACTGGGTTCATAACAGAAGCAGGAGGGGCGGGGGGGGGGGGGTGGGGGGGGG